ACACGCAGACACGCAGACACGCAGACACGCAGACACGCAGACACGCAGACACGCAGACACGCAGACACGCAGACACGCAGACGCTTCTGAAGGAAATGAAATCCTGGCACGTCTTCTGAACCGGAACCAAAAATAACACTGGGGATTTCTCCGTCTCCCTCTCGCGTACAAAGACACACGGAGAGATGCAAATGTGACTGCCGCAGGGGGAAAAAAAAAAAAGACAACGGCAAACACGCACGCGCCGCAATCCAGCCACTGGCAGCAACCTGACCTCCCACGGCCACAGCTCGTTAAACCGGAGCTACGCAGCAGGACTCCTGTCCATCCCTCACACAGAGGAGACAGCCAGGCTAGCGTCGCGGTTCACAATTTACCCCATTTACACCGAGAAACAAAACTGTTTCCCACTCCCTCTGGGAAGAGGAGAATCTACCGGTGACGGCACTACATCCAGATGGGATCTGTGCATCTGCAAGCTGGTAACAAGCCCCTGCAACTTAATAAGGATTCCTTACACAGGGGCTCCTGTGAATCCGTTTCACAGTTTTTGTGACTCAACTTTTAATAATTAATAAGAATAATAGCTTACACTTATATAGCGCTTTTCTGGACACTCCACTCAAAGCGCTTTACAGGTGATGGGGACTCTCCTCCACCACCCCCAGTGTGCAGCCCCACCTGGATGATGCTCCAGTACACTCACCACACACCAGCTCTCAGTGGGGAGGAGAGCAGAGTGATGGAGCCAGTTCAGAGATGGGGATTATTAGGAGGCCATGACTGGCAAGGGTCCAATGGGAAATTTGGCCAGGACACCAGGATAAGACCCCTACTCTTTTTAAGAAATGCCCTGGGATTTTAAATGACCAGAGAGAGTCAGGATCTCAGTTTTACATCTCATCCGAATTTCAGCGCCTTTTTTTTTTTTACCGTGTAGCATCCCCGTCACTAAACTGGGGCATAAGGACCCACACAGACCGCAGGGTGAGCGCCTCCTACTGGTCCCAATAACACCTCTTCCAGCAGCAACCTTGGCTTTCCCAGGAAGTCTCCTCTCTAGGAACTGACCAGGCTCACACCTGTAGAGCTTCAGAGGACAGCCAGATGCCAGCTGCAGAGCGATATAACTGCTGACCTTCCCCTGTAATACACGACATCCCTGCCTCAGAGTCCAGAGGGGTTCTTCTCCCAGGCCACAGTCCGGCGCAGGAGCAGTCCAGTCCAGGGCTGGGCCACCCCGGCAGTCCCCTCCAGTGAATACTTACAGGGGACCTTTGGCACTGGAGTCAGTTAACTCATTAATGGTTAACGAAGCACAAGAAGCACTAAACAGAGGCGCTGCAATGGCACAGAGCAGGCTGCCTTCCCCGCGCCGTAGACGCCAGGGGGAGAGACAGGCTGTCTGGGCTCTCGCGGAGCGGAGTCTCCGAGGAGCGCGACAGCTCTGTACCGCACTCGAGTCCGAGGAGCGAAACCCGTTGGAAATGGCAGACAGAGCTTGTTTTCCAGGAAGGGCAGGGTGCCCACTCCTCCGTGCGTGACGTGCGATGGGCAGCTGGCCAGCAGCTGAAGACTATGGGGGTGGGGGGAGTCAGGATTTGACATGAACACTCTCCTGATCACGGACATAATCTTGTTTGTTCCGTTGATCCATAAATCACAAATTAAACTGATAAGATTACTTTCCTGGCACTTACTGCAACAAGTGCATCTTTCACTCTTCCTGGAAAGACACAGGGCCTTTGTTTCCTCCCCGACTGCTGGTTCTCAACTGAACCAATTATTGGCTTAATGAGTCCAGACACTGAGCCGTGGACAGAGATCGCAGAACGAACTAGCGCCCTGCTGGCAGTGTTAAACGAGCTAGGTAACACCCAGGGGTGCTCTGGCAGGGACTGGACCGAGTGCACTGAAGAGCTTTCAGAACGGGACTAGGAATCAGGCCACATTGTCCTCAAGACCACCGGCCTGAGCAAGCACTGGTAAGCACATTGTGACAAACAGCCTTTGCCACATTCAAGATCTCACATCGCCGGAGCAGAAGTTTCGCAGGGAGAGGTCATCTGACTGTACAGGGAACTGCTTAAGTGCAAACATCAGCTGTTAAAAAAAAAGGCAGGAAGACTTCAGAGAGTTGGCGGAGACAGCACTGGCCGCCCGCTCTCCTCTGCGATGCCCAATTGTTGGCACAGAGGCGTGAACGTGTCCGGCCGGCCCACTGGCGTTAGACCGAGGTGCGAGGAGAACCCAGCAGCTCATTTCACACACCAGCTGGGCGGGAGCTTGAAAGGAGAGATGGAAAGATTAGGACAGGAGTTCCTGGCTTCTCCTGGTACCAGTGTGAATCAAGCTGCAAATATTTAAGGTCTCAACAGGCACACACTGCCTCCATTCTCTAGAGCAGGATCTTTTGTTTAGAACGCGCCTAAAAGAAACCGCTTATCAAAAACACTGAGGAAAGTGAGAAAACACCCAGTACGTAGAATTTTGTGCAACTATAATGGTCTTACTAATACAGTATCACAGAAGTGTCAAGCTTCCCATTTAGTAGTTCTGCATTTATTACATCAGCTTGGCTTGACATGAAACCGGTCTGTCTCCATGTATTCCTAACAATCACGGCAGTCATCTGTCTGAAACCCTAGATCGGGAGTGGGGGGGGGCTCTACAGCCCCCAGCTCACAGGATGGGGTACAGGCCACAGGGCGGGTCCCCTTCCACAACCGCCTGATCGACGGTGGGTTTAAAGAGCGGACGGCTCCTCTTGGGGATTCTGTGCAAGGGCCCCTTCTTTCAAAACCAGCACCGGCCCGTCCAGCGGTCTGCGCCAACTGGGAACGGAAGGAGGAGGTGGGCACGAGGAGACCTGCGCATCACCGGGCTGCTGAAACGAAGAGATCTGCATCTCTCCCCCCCCAACGCAGGGACGATGTCCTTCGATCAGTTATTTACTAGCACCCAAAAGAACTAGAGGGGCACAGTTTGGAACAGAGGAATGTTACAAAGAAGAGGAGGCCATTCAGCTCATCCAGCAGTCAGCAGTGAATTGGTCCCAGGAGTTCATCCAGCTTTTCCTTGAAAGATTCCAGGATATCTACTTGAACAGTAGCTGTTCCACACGCCCACAACCCTTCCGTTGTACATATAATACCACTAACGAAGCTCAGCAATGTCCTGGCACCATCCCACCCAACATGACACACTGCCAACACCTGGTCCTCCGCACAGCGTACAATCTGGACTGGAATGTGGACAGTTAACGTATTCCACATAAAGGCTGACATACGCCCCTCTCGGATCCCCTAAAGCGCTCTGGATCTTTACAACCCGCATGCCGAAATCAGTCGTGACCAAACAAAGATCTCCGCCATGCTCCAAACCAGAGAAGAACATGATCGTTTTACATATGGCTTCAGTCCCAACAGCACCAAGAAGGCAGCCTACTGTCTCCGCCATAAATCTGTAAATCCCAGCTGAACCCAATTATGTATGTGGCTTGCAAAGAAACTGAATGATTGATGCTGCTGTTTCAACCACAAAGAATGTTAAGTGGTACGTTAAGGCTTCATTTACAGGCTGTTGGCTTCTGTAGGGTCTTGGGCAAGCTCACAGGCATTAGAAACACCGGACGGGAAGGCCTGGCGAATCTCAATGAAACACGAGCAATTGCAGGTTCGCTTCCCCCATCTGAAATGACGGGACTGCTTTCAGGGGTGTCACGCGTCATCCTTGACCCCTGCTGTATCGTACTGCACTTGAAGAATTCCATTTCGAAAAACCTGTTCTGAACAAACGAACGCGTCGGAGTCCGTTTACACACGTGACCGAATTCCTGTCCCAGCAAGCCCACGCGCCGCACGTTGGGAGTAAAACAGTCCTGGCTGCAGAGACGAGGGGAGCACGGTTTAGCAACTGCCGGACAGGAGGTGGGCCGTATACGAAGGGGCAAAACAGACGCAAATTCCACCAGGCGCTGCTACAGCTCTGGGGGGGGAGGCTGAAAGAGGAGGTAACAGCAGACCTCACGTTACTTCAGGGTTCACTGCAGCACCTTCCTGAAAGGCGTTTCTTTACACAAGGAGTTGTGGGAGTCTGGAACAAACGACCCAACGTTGTCGCTGGAGCCGATCCACTTTTCTTCACCGACGTCAGGACTTGAGACGGACTAGCTATTTGGTACCAAATGGCATAGGTGGGCCACAATCTTCTTTGGTTTACAGCTGCGGGACTTTTTTGATTCTCGACACCGGTCACTGTGCTGGGTGTCTCTGGGCCAACAAAAGAATTAACTGCCTGCTGCACTCGATAAAGTCACTTTACAGACGCTTCTAGCGAGGCCTGAAGAACGATTTCGAGATCCACTGGAGTTCAGTCTTGTGAAACCGGCCTTAAGAGTGTTTAAGTTTTGATTGTGACAACCCACAAGCGCCCGCCCCGGCCGTGACTCAGAAACCGGATTGCCAGAAGCGCATTCCAAGATATTTTCTTTTACGAGTACAGAACCACAGCACCCATGCACGAAAAAACAGTTAGGTTTTCGCAGTTTCATGTTCTCCACCTTTTCAAAGATTTCCGGCGTGTACGATTTTAGGTTGAGCTGCGTGAACTGCAAAAAAAAAAACTTAAACCACTACGCGGGCTATTTTAAATACCACACCGGACACGGGCAGTGCTCGGAAAACTTCGAAAGCCCTAACAGTATTTCACCAAAATTAACCATCAGCGTCACTTTTTATACCTTTATTAAAGTGTGACGTCGAAAAAGTCCGAGTAACTCGAAATATATAATTGAAAACACAAGGGATGTTACAACTCTGTATCTTTAAACTCAACGGGAGTCACTAGAGATTAACGGGGATTTTAAAACTGTGCTTAGAACGTGGCCCGCATCTCGATATCGATTAACACAAACATTATTCAAGCAAGCCACGTCCTGCATTGTAGCGTGCTGGACACTAATTCTCCTTTTGAGACTTTTGTTTCCCCAATATATTTGCGTCGACAGACATGTTTTCGGAGGCTGCGAGTCGCTTCGCAACCGACCACCCCCCCCAAAAAAAAGTTTCCCCGAAGTGCTACTCACTGCCCAATTCCCCGTCACCAAAGATACCCGAAAGGGTCGAAGTAACAGTCCTCGATTTTGTAGTCGTTTTAATTCGGAATATAGCTGTTCCCCCCATTTAACCGAGAGCCGCGACAAAGCGATTCGACGGGCCCCAGGGAAAATAAAACTACGGTATAATTTTT